ATTTTAATTAATATTTTATATATTTTAAATATAATAAAAAAATTTCTACCACAGCATAACATTACACAACAAGGCAAAACCCTCAAATCCTTTCTCAAAAAATATCGGTAGGGACATATCGACCTCTAAAAAAAAAGCAGGGAAAAATTACCTTTTTAAATTATAAATCAATACAAATCACCATTTTTTAACAAAAAAACGTTAGAATTTTGTTTTTCACGTCAGTATTTTTTAACGGAAAATGTTTAAAAAGGAGTGATTTGTATTGATTTATGAATTGGAGGGGCAATTTGTTCCTTTTTTTTTTTTAGGGGTGGATGTGTCCCTACCGATATTTTTTGAGGGTGGATTTGAGGGTTCTGCCACACAACAAAGAATTCTTAAAAGAAGCCTACTTTTTTCCAGAAATCAAAGGCATTATTTATAATTTTTAAACAGTTGGGAGCTATTTTACATTTTTTTCAACTGGTCCCCGAGCCTATGTGTATTTGCAGATGTAGCTCAACCACTGCTTCATTTTGCTTATGTACCATGAAGAAGACAAGAAGTCTAGTCCTATTCCAATTAAAGGCCAGAGCAATGCTAGGGGCACTCGCCTGCTGCACTCTCCGGCCAACACTTTCTCTTTTATTGGGCCACGTTATTTTGGTTTCAAGAGGTTGCACCTGAAAGCTTTAAAGAAGCTTACGTGGCCCAATGAAAGGGGAAGTGTTGGCCGGAGAGTGCAAAAAGCGAGTGCCCCTAGCACTGCTCTTAAAGGCAAATGCCAAGTTTAAGAAACTGATTTCTTGTACTGCTTTTGTTTTCCAGCCTTGTTGTCCTAACAACCTCCCAACATGATCCACTCAAGTCCGAAGAGAAACATGTTGCCATGTTAATTTGTGTTTGGAGATTCAGTCTTCGATCTTGGAAACAATAACTTCCTCAATATCAGCATTACCTAGGGCAAGGCAAATTTTCCACCCTATGGCAGGGAGACCTTTTTTCACTATCCCATCGGTAGATTTTGTGATGGACGCATAATTCCTGATTTTACCAGTGAGTCAACTGTTAAATTTCTCTCTCTCTCTCTCTCTCTCTCTCTCTCTCTCCCAATATATCAGAGAGCTATTTGGTAATACAAATGTTTTAGTTTTTGACATTGATCTCAAATTAAAGTTTTTAAGTTAATAGGTATTAATTCAATCAAGGTTTGATTGGTTTTTCTCTTTTGTATTTTCTTTGAATGTTGAAATGAAATGTTCACCTCACAATGCAAGTCTTTCCAAATTACGTCCTCTGCATCATCCTTTGTAGGTTTACCAGTATGGAGACCTTATTAGATCCTGCTAATCATAATTTGCTTGTTGAGCAAACTTCGCCAGTGGTGGAGCTAATAAAGTCTCAACTTATAATTCACATAGGAACGCTTTGACTCGTGAGGATCATTGTGTAGAACCTTCATAAGGAAACAAATCAAATGGCAATAATGCTTTGGAGCAAAATTAGCAATCAAAGAAATTGTAAAATGCAACCGTTGGAGATATAGCCGTTGCAAATTTATATTGTAATCATACCTTAAATCATGCTATTTACTGTATAATGTAACTATAAATAGAAGAAACTCTCTTTCTCTTCTCACCTTGAGAGAGAAACTTTGATTTCAAATCTTTCTTATGGTATTAGAGCCTTGTCGGTGAGGAATCAGAGAGTTTCTTTCAATTTATTCCTATTCTCTTATTGCCATTCTATAATGGCCCCATCTCAAAACAATAGCTGCCCATAGCCTTCTACCCTCAATGTGTCAAACTTTGTTTCCCTGCGACTTCAATTTGACACAAGCAATGACCACATTGTGGAAAGATAACGATTCATTGACTGAATATTTAAGAAAATTCAAGGCTATTTGTGATGAACTTGCTGCTATGGGGAAACTAGTACCAGACAAAACCAAAGCCTTTTGGGTGTTACAAGGACTTGGCCAAGGCTATGAGAACTTTGTGACAACCATGTTGAAACCTTCGATTCCACCATATCGAGAAGTTGTATCACTTCTCAAAAGTCATGAGACTCGAAACCAAATCCATGGGTTTGAAACTTATAATCATCCTCAAATGGCTTTTTATGGTCAAAGGACCAATGGAAACCAAAACAAGAGGAAAGGAAATGGCTTCAACAAATTCAACTCAAATGGAACTAACAGCACTTATAATAGTGCTAGTGCAAACTACTTTTATCATGCAGGTAATAGGAATGTCGGATCTAACTTTACAAGGAATCAGCCTAACAACCTCAGCAAACAGAAGGTTGAAGCTCAAAATCCCATCATGGATAATGTAGTCAAATGCCAAATTTGTGGAAAGCTCAATCATATTGCTCTGAAGTGCTTCAACAGATTTAATCACTCATATCAAGAAGATGACATTCCAAACGCATTGGCAGCCACCACCATTGATGACAATCAAGAGCTTGAATGGCATCCAGACACAGGTGCATCTGTCCATATGACAGGAAATTCTAGTAAGCCAAATAACTTAAAACCTTATCATGGCCAAGATGCTGTTATGGTTGGTAATGGTAAAGTACTAAATATTACACATATTGGTGATTCTAACATTGCCTTTGGTGACAACTCAATTCCATTGAAAAATGTCTTACTTGTTCCTAATATTAAAAAAAAATTTAATTTCAGTTAGTCAACTTACTATTGATATGCCATATATTTTCATATTTGACTCAAATGGCTTTTCTATTAGGGACAAGCAAACCAACAAAGTAATTGCTTTTGGAAAAAAGGCCGGAGGTCTATATGCTTTAAAGGATGCTTTGGAGGAAGGACATATGGCACTTTTCTCCACTCAGTTTAGAAGAACAAATAAAGAAGGGTGGCATCAAAGGCTTGGCTATCCAAACTATCATGTTATAAATTTTCTTTTTAAGCAAAAGTTTATTGATTTCACTTTAGATTCAAACTCTAACTCTATTTGTGATAATTGCCAAATGGGTAAATCTTGTAGACTTCCTTTTCTTCAAGCTGATGATGAATGTGATGAGCCCTTTATAAAAATTCATTGTGATCTTTGGGGCTTTGCTCCAACAAAGTCCCCTGAAAATCATCGATATTATGTAATTTTTGTAGATGGTATTTCTAGATTTACATGGTTTTATCCTATTAAAAGAAAGTCAGATTTCTTTGATTGCTTTATGCACTTTCAAAAATTTATTGAGTGCCAATTTAATAAACGAATTAAAATTCTTCAAAACTGATGAAGGGGATGATTTGCAGATAAAAGATTGTTGCAACTTTTGGATGATTTGCAGATGAAACTCCACAACAAAATGGAGTTGCTAAGAGAAAGCATCGAAGTATCACGGAGTTGGGACTAACAATGATGTGCCATGCAAAACTACTTGCTTGACTTTGGGTTCATTGTTTTTCTACAGCTGTATTTCTTATAAATCGTTTACTTTCACAAAAATTAAACGTGGATCTCCTTTTTTTCAGGCTCTATGGCAAACATCCTAACTAACTCCTTGCGAGTTTTAGGTTGCAAATGTTTTCCTTACTTAGGTGATTACAAGAAGAATCAACTGGAGCCAAAGTCATTGCCCTACATTTTTATTGGATACAGTACCAAGCACAAAGGGTATAAGTGCTTATATCCTCCAACAAACCGAATATACATATCTCGACATGTGGTCTTCGATGAATCATGCCTACCATTCACAAATCCGACCTTGCTTTATGCAACTCTGGATGTTGAAACTGAAGTAACATTCCATCCTTACATAATTGCTGATGAAAATTCTTTAAGTACTACAGGTGATGGTGAAAAGCAGAGTTGCTCTATTCCATGTGCTGCACCAACCATATAACAAGGGATATTAGCTTGCAGTGAAGAATCCAGTCTTAATGACTCAAGAGAAATTCTTAACTCGAGGGCACAAATTGTCGAAATTAATGATCATCAACCAAATGAAGAACTTGAATCACATCTAGTTGATTCCATCTGATCCATTGATAATCATCATCAAAATGATGACTTGGTGCAAACTATGCCACCAATTAATGATGGCCATGAAAATGGAAATTTGATGCAAAATCTGCCAACGAACAGTGGAGTAAATGCAAACACTGCAAATGAAGAAAATCACTCTCCTACATCAGTTGAGATAGTTAACCCATTATCAGTCTAAGTAGCAAACACACTGCAACACCAAATGGTCAGCCAATCACAAAAAGGTATCCTTAAACCAAATCCTTGTTATGCAAATTTACATGTATTACATAAAATTTCAGGCATTCCAATAGAACCCAAGTCAGTTCGATTAGCACTTAAACATCAAGGATGGACCATTGCAATGCATGAAGAATTAGAAGCACTTGCAAAAAATGATACTTGGGACCTCGTGCCTCGTACGAAAGATATGAATGTGATTGGATATAAATGGGTGTTCAAAACAAAATTACATGCTAATGGGAGTCTAAAGCTCCTCAAGGCGTGTCTTGTTGCCAAAGGATTCCATCAAATAGCCGGTGTTGATTTCTCTGAAACATTTTCCCCTGTGGTGACAGCTGGGACCATTCGTACTATATTAGCAATTGCAACAACCAAACAATGGCAAATCCGACAACTGGACGTGAAGAACACTTTTCTACATGGATATCTCAATGAGCCAGTATATATGGAGCAGCAGCCTGGGTTCTTGGATCCCAAATGCCCAACTCATGTTTGTCGATTAAAATGTGCTTTATATGGGTTGAAACGAGCACCACGGGCTTGGTTTGATAGACTTAGCAAATTCCTTTTTAACATTGGTTTTTTTTGCAACACAATAGACCCATCTCTCTTCATTTTTCATTCAAATAAGGGGACTTTACTTCTTCTTATTTATGTAGATGATATGATCTTAACAGGAGATAACTCTGAATTTCTTGAGTTGCTTATCTCTTAGCTTGGTCAAGAATTTGCTATTAAAGATCTTGGTCGTCTCAATTTCTTTCTTAGCATAGAAGTTCATTACACAAGCCTTAGTTTGATTCTATCTCAATCCAACTATGCACTAGACATTCTAGTTAGAGCACCAATGGAGGGTTGCAACTCGATCTCCACTCCTATGGCACTTAAAGCACGTTCCTCACATTCTAGCAATGATGCATTTCATGATCCAACTCATTATAGGAGTATTGTTGGGACACTTCAATACCTCACATTTACTCGACCAGATCTCTCATTTGTAGTCAATTATGTTTGCCAGTTCATGAATTCTCCTACAATTGGAAATTACCAAACCGTCAAGCGAAAATTAAGGTATGTACATGGGACTCTCAATTATGGCTTACAAATTCTTAACCAAAGTTCCTTAGACTTGTATGCCTTTTTAGATGCTAATTAGGCTGGGTGTTCTTTGACTCGCCATTCCACCCCTGGTTATTGTACCTTCTTGGGAAGCAACTGTATTTCATGGTGTGCAATGAAACAACCTACAGTGGCTCATTCAAGTGCCGAAGCAGAGTATCGATCTATGGCTTCAACAACTGCTGAAATCACTTGGCTTGCAAACCTTCTTCATGACATTGGAATGGCTCTTAACAATGCCCCTATTCTTCTTTATGACAACTTGAGTGCAATATATATGACAATCAATCCAGTTTTTCATAGTCGCACCAAGCACGTTGAAATTGATTATCATTTTGTTAGAGAGAAAGTTGCTCTTGGTCACCTCATTACTCAGTTTGGCAATTCTACCTCACAGTTAGCTAACATCTTTATAAAGCCATTGACTAGAGACAGCTTTCACCGACTACGCAACAAATTGGGTCTTGCGTCTCTGCCACTGCCCAATTTGAGGGGGAGTAATAAAGTCTCAACTTATAATTCACATGGGAATGCCTTGACTCATGAGGATCATTGTGTAGAACCTTTTGAAGGAAACAAATCAAATGGCAATAATGCTTTGGAGGAAAATCAGCAATCAAAGATATTATAAAATGCAATCGTTGGAGATATAGCCGTTGCAAATTTATATTGTAATCATACCTTAAATCATGCTATTTACTGTATAATGTAACTATAAATGGAAGAAACTCTCTCTCTTCTCACCTTGAGAGAGAAACTTTGATTTCAAATCTTTCTTAGGAGCTTGCGTGGTTGTTGAAAATAATCCATACACGGTATTGCATCGATCCTTTAATAATCTGCTTAATTCCAATGTCTTACAGAGTGTTTGTTTGCCCAACTTTTGAAATTGTTTTTTCTACTGTCAAAGTCGAAGACACGTTAAATGTAGTTTTTGTTTATGAGAAATGCTTCTGATTGATATGATTTTTACTGTGATATAACTTAAGAGTGCCTGGACTACATAATAATTTCTTCATATTTTAAGGTAGACTTTGTTTCGCTACTAATATGAATTTTTCTCAGCTCAACCTACAAATTCAACTAGGCTTCTTCAAGGAGGTGGTAAATTTGTTGACACATCGGTTGGGTGAGGCAGACACCAAGAAGCTGTTAAGGGAAGCCATCTACATTTCTAGCATAGGGGGTGTGGATTACATGACATTTGCCAGTTCTTCCTCTAATGTTACTGAATCAGAGATGCAAGAGTATGTTAATATTTTGATTGGCCTTATAACAAAAGCAACCGCACGTAGTAGAAAAAAAAAAAAAAACACAATTTGACTTTATTTCTTGAACTGAAATATCTTTTATAATTTGCCTCACACTTAAAAACATCATAAATTAATTCAGTGTTTTAGAAAAAACAAAAAGACCTTTAATGAAGAAGATTCATTAAAAGTATTTTTGTCTTTATAAGAGCAGTCTATTGAAAAATCACTGTCCATTTTTCTTTTTAAAATTTGTGATTCATTTTTGCATTTTTATTGGGTAATCAGGAAATATATAAACTAGGAGGTAGGAAATTTGCATTTCAAAGCATCAGACCTTTGGGTTGGGTTCCAAAAACGAAGGCAGAGTTTAACTCCACTGGTGAATGTGTCGAATTTCTCCAAATTCTATCAACCATGCACAACAATGCTCTGGCAAAAGTTGCTGAGGAATTAGAAATAAAGCTATCCGTATTTAAGTATTTAATGTTTGATTTCTTCACTTCGCTCATGGATAGAGCAAATAACCCCGAAAAATACGTTATATATATGTCTGTTGCAGAGATTCAATTTCTTTTTTATTGCATGCTTCTCCTAAATTCCTTAATTTTCTGATGATATGTTTCTTGGATACAATATTGTGAAGGTTTCAAGGTGGGTGACAATGCATGCTGTGGTGGCGGAGCATACCATGCCCAGACTGCTTGCGGATGGTTAACAGAAGAATATGAATTATGTAGTGACCCCAATAAATTTGTGTTTTGGGATGCTTTACATCCTACCGATACTGCTACTCTCAATTAGCTCAGTTGTTGTCGAATGAAACAGGAAATGTTACTTGGCCTCTGAACATGAAGCAACTATATGATCTTGATATTGACACCGAGATTTCTTCTCAAGACATTGATTTTATATCTGATGCATATTTTTTTTTCATCTGCAAACAAAGAACATTTTGTTAAGTTGTTTTTGTCACTAAAGAATAAGGGTTATACTCCAATCCATTATAATTCCTAAGTTCAACATACTCGTTCGAAGAATGGAGTAAAAATATTAGGGCTAAAACCAACTTTTAGCCCCTTACCTTACAAAAATGGTAAATTTTAGCTCCTAACCTTATAATATGACACTTTTAGCTCTTTACCTTACAAAGTTGATAGGTTTTAACCCCTTATCTGTATGAATTGAAGAAAATAGCCCTTATTTAACAACATGTTATAATGTTCTATTAGTTATGTTAGTTCTATTAGTTGACTGTCAGTTTTTTTAGCTGACTGTTAGTATCTGTTAGCATCTGTTCGCATTCCGTTAATGGAACTAACAAATAAAATTGAATTTAAATTTCATGTTTTTTATAACGAAATACTAATGGATGTTAATAGTCAACTAACAGAACTAACAGAACGTTGTAATATGATATTAGGTGAGGGCTATTTTCTTTAATTTGTATCGGTGAGGGGCTAAAAATATCATAATATAAGGTAAGGGATTAAAACCTACTAACTTTATAAGATGAGGGGCTAAAACTTCCAACCTAAGATAAAGAGCTAAAACTGTCATGTTATAAGGTGAGAGACTAAAACCTACCAATTTTGTAAGGTGATGGACTAAATGTTGGTTTTTGTCAAATATTAGAAGGTGCGTATTAGCAAGAAAATAATGCTCAAAGATAATGGTTTGATATTGAGGTATAAGAACCGTTTCATATTTATTTTGTATGTGAGTACAGAATCAGTATAATGTATATAGGTTTTGAGAGATTTGTACAAATAAGGATATAACCTTTTAAAAATCTTTTAATTAAGGATATGAACCTTTTTTTATTACTAATTAAGGTTATTAACTTTTAAAATTTTTTTATCAAGAGTATGATTTTATCAATTTTATTAATCAAGGCCACCTACCTTTCAAAATTTTCTAATCAAGGATATAATCATATACATCCAATTAATCCTTTTTTAGTAAAATCATAAAAGCTATATTTTTAATTAGAAACTTTTAAAAAGTGGTGATCTTGATTAATAAGAAAATAAAATCATACCCTTAATTAAAAAATCTTTTAAAAGGTTGTACCCTTATTTGTATGAAATCTCTAGGTTTTGAATACCCCTTTATACTCCTTAAATAAAATTAAGAGCCTTTAAAAAAAATAATTCCTAAGTTTCACAATTACATTAAGTTGCATTAACATATATGTTTTTCCATTTTGTCTTATTCCATCGCAGTGACTGACTTATTAGGTTTGATTTAACAACACTCCATATGTATTTGTCTAGCTTATTCTAATCCAATCTCTTTTGTGTGGGAGTCCCACACATACATGTGAACCCCTAACAAGGCAAAAACAGAGTATATATACTGATTGATAACTATATGATGTATAGGAGACTGTATATGGGGATAGGAGCACAGCAAATCTTGTGTTCAATATTTGTTTTGACTGCAAATATGTTAAATACCAT